CACACACACACACACACACACACACACACACACAGTCCTTACCTTTGCAGGCGCTTTTGAATTCATGTGTAATATCAACCCAGTTGGCGTTGTTCTTCATCTTTTCTGGGATACCCAGCCCCCAGCCAGTGTCATCATCATCAACTGCTGATTTCATCACCATGGTGACAGCTTAAGGCACATAGATAAACATTACATTAAATTAACCATTACATGCCAATGTAAAGCATTTTGCTAAGTCATCCATCCAACTGCCTAGCCAACTTAAAAGTTCAGGGAGGCAGTGAGGGGACCAGCAGCCTCTGTGTTTCTGTGTCTCTGTGTTAGCATCACAGCGCTAACACAGAGATGCAAACAACCATGAACTCTACTTGCACAACTACACTTAATGCCAATTTAGAATCAGCAATTAACATACGGTTTGTGGGAGGACACCAGAGCACCCACAGGAACCCCACAAAGACACATGGAGGATATGAAAAAAACAAACAAACACACACATAAAGCTCCAAATCTGCAATGTCTCCACACTTTTTTTCCCTTTGCTGAAAAGAAAGATTTATTTTCCTATATAAAAACATTTTTTCTCATTTTTGTATTTATTTATTATTTTAATAACAGATATAGCCATGCTTGTACCTGATGAATTCTAGCTCAAAGTTAGTACTAGGTCCTTGTTATAATTAGCTCAGCTAATGGCATAAGAGTTACACTTGATTAAGAGGTTTCTTATCTTATTAGGTTTTCCTTGCTGAAGTGAAATCATATTTTCCTCAGGTCATAGGCTAACAAAATTCTAATTCTTGAGACAATGTAACTTCAATATCCCTAGGATTAGTGGGGTTAGGTTAGCTGGTGTTTGGTGTTTAGTGTGATTGTGAGTGTGAATGGCTGTCCATCTCTCTGTGATAACCCTGCAACAGACTGGTGAGCTGTCCAGGGTGTACTCTGCCTCTTACCCTATGGTAGCTGGGATGGGTTCCAGCCCCCCACAACCATGATAAGGAGGGGAAGCAAATGGATGGATGGATCGTCAGGACGTATTTCCACTAACTACATGAGCAAAAATCATCCACGTAAAGGATTCAGGTTCATGAGACACAGCCTGAGGCATGTCATTAATATAGATGGAAAAAAGTAATGAACCTAAAATAGATCGTGTTATACCATAAATAACATTTCCAAGGGGTGACCTTTAAGAATCATTATTTAATTCTACATAATATTTTCTTTCCAATAAAAGTCTTGAACCACCTCAGATATTTACATAGATTTCCTGTGTGGATTAGAGAAAATCCGAAGTAAATTAAAAATTGTTTTAAAGTCATTAAATATGTACACTGTACAATCATTCCACAGTGGAAAAAGAAGAGTTCAAAGAAGTCATCAAAAGCCCAAAATTACCATGACATTTATGCCCATAACGAATGTATGTAAACTTCTGACCAAAACTATATTGGCTCTATATTGCTTGTAGAGTAGAATAATCTACAGTTTCAAAAGACTTCTGAAGGTAGTGTATATTATACTGTATATTAAATATAATTTTATTACTGAGCTATGAAAGGTTAGTATGAGTAAAGTACCTTGGCCTAATAATAAAAAACATAAACATTTAAAACGTCATCATGCAGTGTAACAGTTGTAACACAGCTCAAAGTTAACGTACAGTAAGAAAGTGAATGTGATCCAACGTAATAATATAATTCATTGATCAGTCATAAAGCTTGTTTTTTGCTTCTCAGCATTAAAACCGCAATGCATTATTATTTTTCAACTGGAAATGTGTCAATTTATGTATGTTCTTAAAAGCTTTCACGCATTTTTGTTTACATTAGATCTTGACTCACTGAAGTTTGACGAGGCTGATCTAAGCTAACAACAGAAGATTAACATGTGAGCTGACTTGAGAAGCTTGTTATGGCCTAAAATGGTGTAAACTGCACTCCAGAGTGCCCTGGAAAGTTTCAGCCGTCAACACTAATGAACTGATGTGGGTCAGGGAGAGTTGGAACCCATTTTTAAATGATTGGTTCATTCACCTGTAACATATATAACGTTTAGAGGACATATAAGAGGCAACACTGGTATAGATGCCTGAATAAAAAGCCTATCAGAAATCGATATTACCCGCTTAAATGATCAATGAGATAAGTAGTAACTGTTTGTCTCCTAACATATACCTTTTTGAAACTAATAACATGGATGTCAAAAGGTCACCTAAGTTTACACAGTCCTCAAAAGCGTACTAAAACTCTTAGGCAAGATACATAATTTTAAAAGACACGAGATGGTGTGAGTTAGCTATCACCAATCGTCACATTAGCTAGCTTTACCGTGTGCAAACAAGCTAATGTTGCCGACACTGGGTGTTCTCTGTGAACAAAAGCTGCTTATGGATGTTTTAACAGGTTAATCCATTCCACTCAGGCATATAAAACACGAAGACTGTTACTTAGAAATTATACTTTCGCTGTAAATCAGCACGTACCTTACTATATTGTATTAACCATGTAGCTAATCAAAGATCCCCCCGAAGACTGTAAAAATTGGCGCACATGAATGACGTAATCAGCAGCAGCGATTGGAAATGTAGTCCTGTGAACGCCAAGCCTAACGGAACGCTTATGGCTTAAAACAAGACCAGTGATGATATAAAACGATTTTTGAATTTTAATGATTCAGTGAGCTAATTTACGATGTTCATATCGTAGCATTAAATGCCGCTTACACCACGCGCAAAGACGTAACCACTCTCGCGGTGCTCACTAACTGCCCCCTCTAGTTGTGTCTGTTCTCATCTCATCATCATCAGGGCGTTTCAACGCTCAGGAGCACAGTAGCTGTCGCCTCTTATCTCGCAACTACTCCTCCACCCTAAACGGGACAGCTCCTTTTTCATACAGGTTTGTACAGCTTCTCTTTTGTGTTGCTATTCTAAAGAACCACTGCTTCAGCTAACATCTACTGTGTGCTGTTTTTGTTAGCATATTCTTCAGTTAGCTAGCCTGCTGGCGCAGACAGCCAGTCTTAATGAGTGACTAGCCCAGCAGGTGCAGCTGCCACCAGCTTCAGCTAGGTTGTCTGACTTAGCATCTTGTAAACATGTACCGTACAGAGGCTTGCCTAGCTGTTTGCCTTTTCACCAATAACCCGCTAACATGACAACCCCCATGAGCTGGTGCAATGAGAGCAATGACCCTGGTTTCTTAAAGGATTTTGGATCGGGGATTGTGAAGTAGCTCTATAGGGTTATTTCGACTTGTTTACAGCAGTCTTGTGTAAGCTGACCTCTATAACATGTCAGATTTCATAACTGCTTGAGCAAATTTTAAACGTGTACATGGTCTGACCTCCAGTTTCATCTTTGGTCTTCTTTAGCCCGTTTGTAACAAAGGCGTGACCATAGATTGTGCTGTCACTCTTAGATAAGGCTCTATCCTTTTGGTAAAACGGGTGATGGGCATGTAAGCTTTGCAAAAGTCTCGTTAAGGAGTAAAGGTGTTTTTTACTTATTTACCTTCAATTCTAAAGTAATGAAGTGTTTTAGTGTGGACATTTCTAGCACATTATAACGTTATTACAAAACTCCCTTGTGTTTAAAAACAATGGAGTAAATGGCATTAGGCACCAGTGATGACCACGCTCTAACACATGTTTGTGACCCATCTTATCTCAGCCCATAAATGCTTCTGTTTTGAAAGTGCAGCACACTAACTCGTCCAGTCTTCTTGGATTCACCTGCTCATCCGTTTCGGTTAATGATACCGCACTAAGTTGACTTGTTTAACGTGTTTTCAAACCTTGTGCTCACATTACCTTGACTGCGACTGTTTTGTGTGGATATCTGAGATGAGTTGAACAGCTCCTTTTGTTTTGTGTGAAATCAGTTGAGAGGTAATGTGTCCCCCAGGTGGTCCCAGCATGCACTGCTGGGCAGATACACAGAGGACAGGTTTTTAGTCTGCTACGGAGCAGCTACATATTTGCAGACTAATGGCTTCTCTGCTCAGTGTGTCCCCTAAGTTGACAGCTTCTTGTCTGTGGGGTGACTTCATGAGGCATGCGTACACTGTAGCCAGGGACACTTAACTTTTCTGTGAAATGGTTTGGCATAGTAGCAAGCCTGGCTGCAACAGAGGGAGTCCAGTGGGGTAAAGGTTGACATGCTTGTTTCTAAAATGGTGTTGAAAACCTCTTCCTCTTCATATCTAATCTACATGTTCTTTCACTTGCAGATGACTTGAAATGTTGATGTAGTAAAAATGAACAAGCCCAAAATGGCCACAGAGAAGGGGTGAGTTGATTTGCATTCAGAAAGCAAATAAAAATGTCATTACAGATGTGAACAAAAACAGGCATGGGGTTTGTGATGTTTGTGCATGTGTTTCTGATTGAAAGCTGCTCTGTCACTGCCATCTGTTCACACTCACACTCTCGTGCCCTCTCTCTCTGTCTCAGTGAGCCTTTAGTGTTATGATGCACTTCCACTTTTGTTCTGTTTTACCTTGTTAAGACTCTTCGCAGAAGGGTTTGACCCTGCTTTTCTTCTTGTGCAGCAGAGCCGAGACTGGTAGATAATTAGCGGACCTTGCTTGAAACAGCCATTTGATATGTCAAGACTGAAAATAACAGCTGTCCTTAATGCTGAGGCAATATACTTTGAAAAACCTTCGGTGTATTTTGGCTTTCCAAAATCTTTTTTTGTGTGTGTGTGTGTGTTCGTCATAGTGATTAATGTAGTATGTTAATTTAGGCTTTCTATTTTTTGTTCTGTGTTTTCCTTTTTCTGTTTATACTCTATTCTTCTCTCACTCCTGACATTTTTTGCTATTCTGTATTTAGCATACACTTTCTGTCTCTCTCCTTTCTTCTCTCTCTGTCTTTATAAGGACATATAAGACATTTTTGCTCCCCTGGGTAGAATCAGGGTCTTGATTCTCTGTCCAGTATTTGCCGTTGCTGTACCAACAACGGACCTCTAACCTCGAGTTTCCAGCTGAGTGCTACTGCGCTAAGATTATAAGAGGAGGACGGATCAGTGCTCCAGAAATGAAGTGAAACACAAAGAGACAGCTTTGTTGAAAAGCTTTAATAAATGAATTTTAGAGTCATATAGTCATAGACTGCTAGTTTGTAATCACCGGCACTGCTAAAAGTAACATGGAAAAGGCTGTTTTTATTGGATGCTTTCTAAAAGTGGGCAAGGACACACTTGACTCAGTGTGAGTATATGAGGTCACTGCACATATTAGATCATGCTTTACATTTGTTTTCCGGTGCCAACTGCACATTGTGATTAATAACATTAGCCTTTTCCCATAATTGCGTTGATCATCCTGTGTGTGTGTTTTTTGTTGTTTTGTTGTTGTTGTTGTTTTTTGTTTTTTTTTTTTAAACATACGACTGAATTATCCTGTTGGATGCATTGTTCTAAAAGTAAAAACTGATTTTATTTGTTACAAGGGTTCCCAGTAACTCCAGGATAGTGATGCTTCTGGGCCAACTGGAAAGGATGAATGGTGAGGCCATGGTCAGGGATGTCGAAACAGCAAGACAGGTCACTACAAAGATCCTTCATCTCATACAGACACAGGGTAAGAATGTGTGTAAACATGCACAGTGATACATGTAATCTCCTGAACTCCGGTATAGTTTTGTTATCTTGAGCCAAGTGCGATCTCAGTGAGCAGTCCTGGCCTTGAATTGCATTGCTGGCAGTGGAAACAGCTGCAAAATATTCAGGCACTGTAACAAGTTATAAAACAGCATTTCCTTGCAATTTGCAAAGTGATTCGTTTGGATTGTGTAAGCAAGTATTCGACGTTATTGATCAGAGGTTTTTGATCACCTCCATATTTTTGCTACAAATGTTCCCTTGGACTCGCGATAAGATGCTTAGAATTAGGAGGTCAAAGGTTCCTGTGAAATCACTTTTTTTTAAAACTCCCAGTAATTATCTGGAAGATCTTCAGTATATCTGTTGGACATGTATGAACGTGTACAGACAAGTACATGTCTGTAAACTGCATCTTTAGTTGTTGGAATAGTGACGCAACCACAAAGTAGTATATTTAGTTCCAGGATGCAAGTCTTGCTAATGGGCAGTTGTTTGTGCAACTGTTTTAAAGCTCGTGTTTAAAATGAATGAGGATACAACCCTAACCTTTATTTTAATGGTCATGTATGTATAGACGCACCAGTCATAACTGATACAATCATTTCTTTCAATTCTAGAAAAAGTTTGGCCTCAAATATGAAGTTTAAACAGCATTTAAGATGTATTTGAATGTATTTATAATGTGCATGCACCCACATTTATAAGACTAACAGCTTAATTGAAGGTGCTAACACAATAAGTGTCTCTGGCTGATCCCACAAAATGAGCCCAATGCCAAAGCACAATATGACTACAGTTAGCTGAGAAATCTTTATTACAATAACCATGGATGGGAATGATAATGAGTAGATATGCCTAATGTGTCAGAGGGCACAGTTTTAGAGTGTGTTCAAACACATCTGGTCTTTGTACAGATGGAGGGTTTGCAGCAAAATGATTAAGTTATCAGCAGAAGCTGTTGGAACTGTTTGGATTTAATCTTAAGACTTAATTGGTTTCTGTTGGTTCTTGCTGTAAATCAATCAGTTTCTGAACATTTAATTTCTATTAAATGTACATCATTTTTAAGTTTGTACCATTCGAAGTCTTTCAGTGGAACTATAATGACCAAGTGGAAGAGTTGGTTGTTATTGTTTTAAGACTTAAAGGCAAAGATCTGTGTGAAAGCTTTAAAGAACTCTTATTTGTATTTCAGTCAAATGCAGCAGAATCAGAGTTATTGTCCATTTATTAAGTACATTTCTTCCTCTCAAACCCATCTGTACATTTCACAAATGCCTTGATGCCTAGCTTCAGGTTGTGGGGAAAATTCCCAAATTCGTAGAAAACTTAAAGTGTGGTTGTTGTGTAAATAGAGATGCAGTAGTTCGTTGACAGTCAAGATGTGACCCCCATTCTCTGATTACTCCTTGAAAGGAAAATGGAGACGAAGATCTCATAACGGAAGAAGGTGGCACACCAGGTGTCGGACACACTGATACATGAGTGCGTCTCTGTTAGCAAGGAGCTAATTACAAAAACGAAAAACAAACAGCATTGTTCTGCTGCTGTAACAATTAAAAATTAAAGGACTTGCTTAATTAACAAACTCACAGAGGCTTTTGATCCTGTGTTTACAACATTTAGTATTTGAAACTCGTACCTCTAACCTTTACAAAGGTAAAGTTATAAACCTTTAAAAAAAACCCACAATCTTCAAATAATGCTATCTTGCAAAAAAAATCAATTTTTGCAAGATTTTTGTTTGTTTTTACTTATAATAACATAATAATAACAATATTAGTAGTAGTATAATTATATAATACTACTACTACTAATAATAATTATAATAAACTAATGTTGTCCTGTAGCACAGTTTTAAGTTACTGGTTTTCAGTGCTTGTCAGTCCCCTCCTCCTTTGAGAAATTCTGCTGAATCATGACATGATGTGATTTCCAACTACTTCTTCTCTCTTACTTTTCTTAAATTTCACCTTTCGTCTTTCCGTAACTTGTTGCTTCCTCCTTCAAAGCAAAGTCCTAGCTAATCTATCATGAATGATGGGCACAGTGGAAAGGCTTGTCTGTGACTCTATCAATCATGCAATATCAGCTGTTCCTCTCTCACCTGTTGCTTGGCTGTCTGTGACACCATGCCTGCAGTCTCAACTTGAAATGTGTATGAGTGTGACGTCGGTTTGAGGGAAGCGCCGAGGTCTGTAACCCTGCATGCAGTAACTATACACCCCAGGATGGACTTTGCTGTACTCTTGTCTCAAGTTCAGGGTCTCAGGAGCTTAAGAGGCAGTCAAGAAATACCATGAGAAAGAACAAGGGAATGTCAGGTGCTGTAAGGGCAGACAAAATGTCATCTCTTGAAATAATTTTAAAAGGGAAAAGGAAGATAATTACTCCACATACTGTACCTTTGGACATTTGGTTTACTGCAAAATGAATGAAATTTTGAATTTTCTCCGTATTGCATGGATCCTGTGGGAATTGTAGTGTCTGTTTTAATTTGGTGGTAATGTATCATCTACCCCCTCTGCATAAACAGAGTTGTCTTATGCTGATGTCTATAGGAGCTGTCTGTGGATTAGTTTCAGGTATCAAGGCAGAAGAGGGGCTGATTACCAGCTTCAGAGAGCCCTGACTCAGAGGGCAGAGTTAGAGGTACGGTTGAAAAGTAGGAGGCTTGGACTGACTAATTGAGGAGTTAGTGAAAAGCATTGATTTTCAATCTTTGACAACACATGATTTGAGGTGTCAAAGAGTTAAGCTTTTTGAATCAGTTTTAGTACTTCTGTGGAAGCCTCAATGGGATCTTTTGGAAAATAGACATTGTTTCACGTAAAGCTTCTTAACTTTTTATCCTCAAATGGAGTACCGCTACACCAGGAGACACCATCAATCTGTGGTTTCCTTGGACACACCAGGTACAGTTCAGAACACCTTGAGTAAAATTTAAAGTATATATATATATATATATATATATATATATATATATATATATATATACACACACACACACACGTATATTACTTTGAGTGGGTAGAGTGAGAGTTGCGGTATATTGCATTTCAGTTCATGTGTGATAATTTTTCACTGTCAGCTGTTACAGCCTAAAAATTACAGTTGAAATGAGTGGTGATTGTTCAGTCTCGAAGTTGAGTTTATTTTATAGGATTCTTATATAAACAAACTAATCATCATTATTCAAACAATACAGTTGCCCTTGTGTGACCCTTCATTACTCTTTAGTGGGGTTGGTGTTGAAGTGCTTTAAAAGGTCTGGCATAGCAGAAACAAGAGGTTACTGCTTTACTTTCCAGAGCACTTGTATATGTGAATGGGTCCTCAGATATGCAAAGTATTTGGCATGTATGTATCACATTTTGAGATACAATTTCAAGACATTTATTTCTATATTTGTAATCATCTACAATTTCTGCTGTTAGTTTACAGAGAGCATTTTGCAAAGGCGAATACTTGTACTTGATTATCCCTTTGTATTCAGGACAGGACCAATACTGTCCTTTTTAGAGGTCAGGAATCTGTCAGCTCCTAAATAACAGGACCAACATAGGGTATGGATTTAAAGAGGTGGGAAGATGAAGAAAGAGTAGGGGTTGTTGCAAGACCTTGTCACCCTTTTCAGCTGTTCTTGAGCAGGTCAGTATATAAACAAAGACTGGTTGAGGACATGGTTGTAAAATGTGCCTTAAAGATGGAGTTTGTACTCACTGAGAGTTGCAGGATTTTCTAACTGTGAGTAAACTAGATGTTTTTACATACTCCAGTATAAATTACATTGTGATTTCCAAAAAAATCAAAAATTGCAGTGCAAATCTGTTAGCCTTCACTTTTGTGTTCATGTTGACTTTGCTGTGCATTACAGAGAAGAGTGGAAAAGAGGTCATGTCCAAAGGCTCCAGCGGCATGGAAGTCATCCTGGCTTCACTGGCGGTCAGTTCACAAACAACACTTGAGTTCTTATGCATTTCAATTGTTACTGACTTGTTGAAGAGAGCTTTTTGTCAATCTAAGTGAACAATAATGTTTAAGAAATTTATTATAAAATCATTAAAAAAGATATTACTGTCATACAGTCATGTATATAATATAGTTCTAAGGATTTACATATCAGAACACATCATTAAAAAGTTGCTTTGTTATTTTGCAAAAACAAAAAATCATAATGCAGAAGCACTGTGTGAAAAACTAAGTAAACCCCATGATTCAGGAGCTTATAGAACCACCTTTAGCAGCAATAACTAAGTAATTGTTTTCTGTATGACTTTATCTGTCTCTCACGTTGTTGTGGAGGAATTTTGGTTCACTCTTCTTCACAACATTGGTTTGGGTCATTGAGGTTTGTTTGCATTCGTTTATGCATCTCTCTCTTTGGGGCTTGCCACAGCAGTTCAGTCAAATTGAGGTCTCAACTTTGGACCATTACAGCACTTTGACTCTTTTCTTTTTCAGCTATTCTGTTGTAGATTTGCTGTTATGCTTGGGATTAATGTCCTGTTGCATGATCCAGTTTGGGCCAGCTTTAGCTGTCAGAGAGATGGCCTTACATTTGACTCTAGAATCCTTCGTACTGGTACAGAGGAGTTCATGTTCCACGGAATGATTGCAAGGTGCTTCGGTCCTGTGGTTGCAAAACAAGTCCAAATCATCACCTCCTTCATCACCATGTTTAACAGCTGGTATGACCTGTTTGTGCTCATATGCTGTGTTTAGTTTTCACCAAACATGGTGCTGCACATTACTGCCAAACATCTCTGCTTACGTCTCATCTGTCCAAAGGACGTTGTTCCAAAAGTCTTGTGGTTTGTTCAGATGTGACTTTGCTAACCTAAGAGTGTTACTGTGTCCTTTTTTTAAGAGAAGCGGTTTTTCTCCTGGAAACCCTTCCAAACACGTTGCACTTGTTCAGTCTGTTTTCTAGCTGAACTGTTATGAACTTTAACATTTAACGTGCTAACAGAGGCCTGCAGAGACAGTTCAGATCACATTCAGATCAACTCAGATCATTTGAGCATTAGATGGTCTGACCTTGAGGTGAATCTCCTTGGACCTCCACTCCTGGGAAAAATGGCAGCTGCTTTGAATGCTTTTCATTTGTGAAAAATCTTTCTCACTGACGAATGAAGGACTTTAAATGACTTTTAATTATCTGGAAATGGCCACGTAACCCTTCCCAGAGTGATGGACAGCAACAATGTCGTTTCTAAGATGATTGCTGACATCTTTTTTAAACACACAGCTGGATACTCCAGACCAGCAAACTGCCAAAATGTCTGTTTTTATAAAGATTCTGTGACCAAGCACCTGGCTGCTACCTATCCTCTTAATTCCTATAGATGCAGTAAGGGTGTGTGTAGTTTTTCACAACCTGACTTGCATTATGACTCAATTTTCTAGGACCTTGTTCCCTGAATTCAATTTGGAATTAGATTTCACACTTATGTAGAGTAACATCAAGGTAATTACACAAATTTCTCAGATTTACCGTGCAAATAATTTTTAACTAATGTATTATTTGTGACTGTTACAGAACAGCAGAGATGTTCAGACCACCCTGAACATCTTGTATATTCTTAGTGAGCTGCTGACTGTGGGTGAGTGGAGTTTTTTTTCTTCTATTTTTTGTTCACCGAGTTTGTTCATGCTCTAACAACACAATGAATTGCTAAACATGTGAACTTTTTGATTTTTGTTACCAATAAATTGTTACATGGTGTTAAATTACACTTTTTGATTGGATTAATAATTACAGTATCTAGTTCATGTGGTTCTCATGCTCTCAACCCTTTTCTGTCTCAGGCAGGGGTCGCAGGATGGGAGTGTTTGTGTCCAAAGGAGGAACAGGAATATTATTCCAGATCCTGACCTCTGCCAGCAAAGAGTTGCCTCCCAGTGAGGAGCTCATGCTACAGCTTCACTCACTCTTAGCCAAGGTTGGCCCAAAAGGTAATGTCGCAGTCCAACACACACACAGACTGGATGAGCCAGTGATTGTATTTTTGTCTTATTTTTGTTTTGCTCTGGGCATCATGCTTGTAAATGAAGAGTGTTATGTTTACATTACGAAAAGTTTTTGCTGACACCACATGTGTAATGTTTATTTTAAAAGTATGTTGAAGTTGTACACCGATGATGTCCTTGTGAGTGTTCTGTTTTCACTGCCTTTGCTATCAGTGTTAAGTGGATAAGTGAAAAAACTTTAAGCCATTTGCAGAAAAACAACAACAAGCAAAACTGATAACAAGTCCTCTGTTCAGAAACAAAAATAGAGGAAAGGTACGGAAAAATCAAAAGTTTCTATTGTTTATTTACTGAGCTGGGACATTGGACCCTGTGTGTGTCCAGACAGAAAGTTTGGTGTGAAGGCCCGATTGAGTGGAGCTCTGAACGTCACCATCAGCCTGATCAAACAGAATCTACAGAATGCCAAACTCCTTCTGCCCTGCCTGCAGGTTCTCAGGGTTTATTCGGCCAACTGTAAGTCCCCGTAAACTCTCACAGTATATATTATAATCTCTAATGAAGTTCCAGCAAAGTAGTCCCAAAAAATACTACAGAGTCCCAGACAGCAGCTGATAAAAATAATTAAACTGAACTGGCTGTGTTTACTTCTAAGTTGTGCTTGATTTTGATTTCTACTGTAATAGCGGTGAATGCAATTTCTTTGGGCAAGAATGGAGTAGTGGAACTGATGTTCAAGATTATAGCACCATACAGCAAGAAGAACACCAGCCTGCTCAAGTGAGTGTCTAACTGTCAATGCTGGCTCCTTTGCAGCCCTGAAACAGCCACATTCATATGCCTCTGGCCATAGTTGTGTCATATTTGCTGTTGGACCCCATCTTTTTTGTTTTTAAATCAACAGGGTAGCTCTGGATGCACTTGGAGCACTTCTCAAATCCAGTGAGTAATTTAAGTTTGTAGCATTAAACAGCTCAGTGGTCCTTAATTAGTGTTGTTTAATCCTTTGCCTGTACTTCACTTATTGTCTTTTCTGCTCTGGAGCACAAAGTGTAATAGATCATTCCACATAGACTTAAAGTTTAGTGTCACGTGACTTTCTCCTATATACTATATGCTTATTACTGCTTTTATTTTCATTTTCTTCTTCTGTCCCGCCACACAATTGCAAAGTGATATGTAGCAGTGGTTTCGCTTCTTGTTTCAATTCCCTTTTCAGAAACTAACGCTCGTCGTGCAGTGGACGGCAGTCATGTGCCCGCCTTGCTGGCTCTGTACCTGGATTGGCATCGCAATGACGCACGTCATCGTCACATGTTGATTCGCAAAGGGCTGCTGGTCTGCCTCAGGAACATTACCAACATCAAACTTGGGAGAAAGGCATTCATAGAGGCCGATGGCATGAGGATCCTCTACAACACATCTACCGTGAGTAAGAAAATTGCATGTGAATGACAAGAAGTTAAAGCATGCAAAACAGAACTACTTCACACATACACAGGTTTCGGTCTGAGCTGCTCTCTGATTTTTCTGTGGCTTTGTTTCTAGGAGTGTCTGCCGGTGCGAACTCTGGATCCACTGATCAACACTTCGAGTCTCATCATGAGGAAGTGTTTTCCTAAAAACCGTCTGCCTGTTCCTACCATTAAATCAGCTTTCCACTACCAGCTGCCTCATGTACTTCCAGTTGGACCTGTGGCACAGCTGTACAGCCAGCCTCCTGGGGGTGAGAGCTCAGGACACACACACACACACACACACACACACACACACACACACACACACACACACACACACACGCACAGAGTTCACAAGCGTGTGGCCCAGCTTGTCACTGTGTATGTGCACGCCTTCCATCTATGATTATACAGTATGGGCACTTTTTTAAAATTGCTGTCCTAACTGCTAGATTCAACACGTTATACCATACAGACGGATAAATAATACTAAATGGCTAATGACAACATTCATGACACTGCTGCACACAATGTGCCTTACAGGAACAACAAGTCACCAGCTCAGCAACAAGCCCTTAAAGAAGGGTAAGACGTACGTAACCCTCAGATTATACAGATTCACTATTTCTTTCTCATTCAGCTCACGTCATACTTGACTAAACTAACACATGACATGTGTTGGTAATAAAGAGCACATTGCATAGTCTTGCTTTCCCACTAGTAGACATACTGTATGTTCTTGCATTTAACTCAGCTAATTTGCTTCCTACATCATGTCCACAGGCTGCGCGATGAAACATTTGAGCTTCTTTTCTTTTCTCATAAGGCCCTTTCTCACCGACATGTAAAATTGTGTAAATGTTTTATGCGTTAGAAATATATTTTTTGGACCTTTTATTAAAGCAGCCATTCAAACGGACCAAATAATTTTACTCGACGGAGTTGAAACACTTATTTCTTTGAACCAATCTCAATTTTCCCTGATGTTTCGGATCCAAATAATCAGATCTCTGGTCATTGGCAACAAGTGCATTCATGGCTCAAATCCAAAGCTGTACTGTATTCTGATGCTGATTCTGATTCTGAATATGCAACGACATTGAAATAATAATAAAAAAAAAAAAGATTTTACCTCAGACACACAGCCGAACACTACTCCGACTAACGTGGCTCTCTGAAATGATTTCTGTACTTCCTCATATATGATTCCAACTCTGCTAACAAGACTTCAAACTGCCCCACTGACATCCTGAAATGTACAAACGCGGCTGGGATACCGCTTCCACTCCTGGACCAAACCATAATACTCTCCCTGCTGCTGTGTTCTCGTGAGAATTGGATGAACCAGAATCCTCGTTTCTTCCTTCTCTTCATTTGGAAGATCAGGGCCAGCTCATCATCAGCTCAACTTTTCTTTTTTTTTCTTTTCTTGACAGTCCTTTTTTTGAGGATGAATTTTTTTGTAAAAACGCAACACCTTCTGTGTTTATATATTTTACGCATCAAATTCAGATTCATAAAATTTTGAATTTTCTTTTTGTTTTTACACAACACGTTCGGTGTGTAAGGGCCTTTAGTCTCAACTAAAATTTTAAATAAAAAAAGCTCTATTACATTCTTTTTTTTTTCCAAGTAGCACTGTTCGTATTTGTATTTTTTAAAAAGAAGGTTACCAAATACTACCTCTGTTTTTGGTTTATTGCAGAGTGTAGAATCAAACAGGAACGCTGTAAAACAGTGATATACATTAGTTATTACAGCATCGATTGGTGCTGACTCGTTTATATTCCTGAAAACATGTCTGTGAGCTTTTGAATTTGTATTTGAAGAAACGTGCTCAGAATCTCTTCTTTCTCTTGATCACCCATCTCTTGACCATGGCTGCTCACATCTTTTTGTTAACATTTCCTCTGTTCTGGGCATAGCATTACAACTCATTGACCAGAATCCTCTGGGGGGGACTGCTGTTCTGGTCATGTGCTGGCCTCTTTCACATTTTCAGAAATAATAAGCCCCCCTCCTCTCTCTCCCCCAGCGTGGGCAAAAGACAAACAGAAATGTCAGGGGAATAATTTCTGCGTATGTGTGTTGTACCCAGTGGATGATGTGGTGGATGACAGCGACGATAATGAGGAGACGGAGGCAGAAACTGATACTGACAATGAAGAGGATGAGAAAGCTCATCGCACTTTGGTAATACCAAATACTTGCATGCATATGGGACATTTCACATGACAACAGTACACTAACATGTGGTACACTTGTTCACTATGGCAAGCATATTGCCTCTATGTGATATTAGATTCACAATTCAACTTTGATAGCACTGGAAATTATAATATCATTGTTAGTTTTGTGAAACACAAAATCGTACATTTTCACGAGTCATACCTAGTCATTGATATCGGAACTTTCCTAAATTTCCAGTAGAGGGCAGTCATAATTTACCAGCCATTTTTGAATGCTGAAATCACTTTGTCACCCATATCTGGTGAACCTCATAAGAACTAGATTGGAGCTGTCTTGACAGAGCAAATACAAATGTATAACAGGCAATTTGAAGTTTTTCTTCCTTTGTTTCCTGTCAATCAGAACGATGACATAGAGACTGACCTGAACAAGCTGCATCCCACAAAGAGCCCTGGTCGTCCATTCGAGGAATTGAGGGTATATGAGAGATTCTTTCTGGAACTATCTGAAGACTTTCAGGTCAGTATTTTCTACACGGCTCCATGGTCCTCATAGTTCTTTAAGACCTTGACTCTGTGCTTGCATGGTGTTGATATTGCATGATGGGTAGGTGCCTAAAACTTTGCATATGTGTCCGTGTGTCAGTCTGTTTATCACATTGCAAGAGTTCAACAAAATTGTGTTATTTATTATATTTGTGGTGTCGACTGAACATGTAATATTTACTAAAAATCCTACTGGCTGACAGGCAGCAGTCTGGTCTAGGCATTCTTCAATGCATGAGCTGTTAACTACAATATATTGTTCCTGCAGGGGTATAACTTTGAAGGCTCAAAAGGTGCCTCTTCTACTCCTTCATCAGGATCCCTTTCTTCATCATCATCCTCAGCTCGATCCACTCGTCCAATCATAGTGCCCACAGCTCAAGCCCTGTCCCCAAAGCACATGGCGACACCAGCCTCTCAGGAGATCTGGAACTCTATCAAAGGACAACACACACAGCCACCTGCCTCTGCCACCTCTCGAACCCCCGCTGCTTCTCTAGCATCTCTAGAACTGGACACGATCCACCTCACCAAGGACCATGACAAAAAAGAGGAGACTCACATTCCTACCCCAGATGGGCATACAACCTTATCCTCCTCCATGCATTCTCCTCAAGGCCAGATGATAGAACAGGGACTACCGCATGCACTGGATTGTGTCTCTCTAGAAGACAAGGGGGCTCTGAATGTAGAGGACGGTTTAAAGGGAGTGAAACAAGAGGGATCCCCAGTCAGTGCTACAAGACACATACAGTCACCTCTGCTGTTGGGGGATATCGCTACACGTCGCGTGGGAGGAGGAGGTTCAGATTGTGGATCAGAGGGTGCTGAAGATGAGGGAGGGGAAGGAGCGGTTCTGGAGGTGCCTGACACAGCCCTCCTCCTCCCGCTGCATGACCCTGACCTATACGTGGAGATGGTGAAGGGGACACGTTCTGTCCCACAGTACGCTGAAGTGGCTTACCCAGACTACTTTGGCCATGTAGCCCCAACTTTTAAGGAGCCCCTTCTGGAAAGAGTTTATGGTGTACAGAGGTGAGAGGTCATCCTTATTAATAAGCAATTGAAGAATATTTATCCTTTTAGTCTGTTAGCAGTTTCTTTTTGGGTGTTACGCTGCAGATCTAAGATATTCCAGGACATTGAGAGGTTGATTCACCCAAATGATATCCTGGATAAAGTGGTTTATGACTTGGACATTCCCAGGTGAGCCTTAAAGCTTTTTATCAATTAGGGTTAAACTCATGTAAAATGATGAATTTTGTTTCCATTATTGAGCATTTGCAGTTAAGTGGTACTAACAAAAGCTACTTTTCTCCTTATAATTAGAGTTGTGCCATTTACTGTATATTAATTTTTATGTTTCAGTTGCCCTGTTATTGAAGACAGTGGTGAATCACTGAAGTTTAACTCTCAGTTTGAGTCTGGTAACCTCAGAAAGGCAATTCAAGTTAGAAAGTAAGTACTTAATACTCAATGGAGTATACAGTGTTACAGACACTACTCTGTGGTAAGCCGTGTGTGACTTCACTAATGTTAAATGCCTAAAATGGTCTAGATGAGTTTTCTTTATGATTGATGATGTTTGGGCTCATATTTAGAGTTTATTCTGTGGTATCTCTTCAGGTATGAGTATGACCTTGTGTTGAATTCAGACATCAACAGTAATCACTACCACCAGTGGTTTTACTTAGAAGTGAGTGGGATGCGTGTTGGGACCACCTACCGTTTCAACATCATTAACTGTGAGAAGTCAAACAGCCAGTTCAACTACGGTGAGAAGAATAACAGTCCAACCTACAGAACTTTTATTTATTCATTTGTTGTAAAGATTTTTATACAGCAGAAATGGAATTGGACTGTATTAAAGGCATAGCAAAAAAAATTTGACTGTAATTTGCTTGAGAATTTGCACAGCACAGTTTGACTTATTTTGTGTTTGGGCTTTCTCCCTGTTTGTGTAGGCATGCAGGTGCTGATGTACTCGGTGCAGGAGGCAATCAGTGGCAGACCTCGCTGGGTTAGAACGGGAACAGACATCTGTTACTACAAGTAGGTGCAATCATATTGTAGTGAAATGGGCAAAATTGAGCAGAAAATCAAATGCTCTAAAGCAAGAGTAGACTTGCTGCTTTTATTAGATGCACTTTTTCTTGTTATTGCAGTCACATAGCACACTGCAGATTGGTGGAGTTAGGCATGTAGACGACCAAACTGAGCATCAGAATCAGGATGAAAAGTGACTCTGAACATGGCATAGTTGTTGGTACAAGACAGGCTGGTCTGAGTAGTTAAGAAACTGCTGATCTACTAGGATTTTCACACACAGCTGTCTCTAACCCAAAAAAGATATATATATATATATATATCTAGTGAGCAGCATTTTTCTCGGTGTAAATGCCGTGATACCACAGGTCAAAGGGCAGTGGCCACACTGCTTCAGTGTGATGGGAGGGTAAAATTACCTCAAATAGCCATTTGTTACAACCACGGTGTGCAGAAGAGCATCTGTGAAAGCACAACATGTTGAACCTTGGGCCAAGATGGGCCACAGCAAGATAAGACCACATGTGGAGCCAGTTGCTAAGAACAGGAAACAGAGGCTCAAATTTGTATGGTCTCGCCAAAATTAGACAATGTTAGATTGGAAAAACTTTGCCTGATCTGTTTCAGTTTCTGCTGCGACATTCGGAGGGTAGGCTCAGAATTTGGCATAACCAACATAAAAGCATGAATCTGTCTGGGCTTATATCAACTGCTCAGGCTTGTGGTTTGTGGTGTAAAGGTGTAGGAGTTGAGGATTTCTTAGGCACACTTTGGGCCCTTTGGAGAATAATTAAAGTATTGTTGTTTGTCCATAGCTTTATGATCATCTTCTGATGGCTACCTTTGAAAGGATAACGCACATAAAGCTTTAATAGTCTATAACAAGTGAACATGACAATGGGTTCACTGCCCTCAAATGACCTCAACAGTCACAGGATTTCAGTCCAATAGAGCACCTTTGAGATGTGGTGGAATAACTGATTGACGTCATGGATGTACAGCACCCGTGTGACACCATCATGTCAATATAAACCAAAATCTCCATCATGAAGAAGTAAGGGTGGTCCAACCTGATTCTCACAAGATGTACCTAATATGGTAGCCACTGAGTGCATTTGATCATATATTTTATAGCTTCAGCGACAAAAGTTATAAGGTATATTTTCAGAGAAAACTAGGATTTACAGTGTAGTCATTGCCTCGCCCCAGAGGAGAGACCTTGCTTTGACAGTTCTAATAAATTAACAGCAGGAGCAAACCTGTTTATGACCTTTTTCTCTCATCTTAACTGTAAATTTTAGGAAAAGGGTGAAAGAAACTTAAAAGAAACTCAGGTAAATGAGAGACTAGTGTCATTCAAGAGGTGTTGGGCTAATCAAAATGAATTTAGCAGCAACTAAATGTGGACATATATCCAAGCACCAGGTGACATCCAAAGGCTTTTCTATCTCTAACAGTGTTCACAGGCCCCTGCAATGTCTTATGTCCATACCATTGAATTGAAATATATGCTGAATATTCCAATATATATATTAATCCATTCTTTAAATCAAGTGAAGCATAAATAATATTTCACAGCAGGTGTCTTCACTTCATGCAACATCTGAAATAATAAAGCTATAACTTTCTCTTTTGGTTAGTTTTCCACAGCTCACATTAGGCCAGGCATATTTATTATAAAAATAACTGCAGTGCCATCCAGTGGATTCAGGTAGTCATTCCATACTACAACTTCTAGTATAGCTTCCAGTACTTGCTCAAGTGTTTTTTGACTGTGATTCCACGTTTACTAGTTTCCTATGTATTGTCCTGCAAAGATTATGCAGAGATCTCTAATGAAGAACTAGAGTGTGTGTGTTGTTGGCGTTCAACAGATACTCACGAAGTGTTCTTGCTTCTCGTAGGAATCACTTTGCAAGGAGTTCCATCGCAGCTGGTGGTCAGAAAGGAAAATCGTATTTCACTCTGACCTTCAGCACAACCTTCAGCCATAAAGATGACGTCTGCTACTTTGCCTATCATTACCCTTATACATACTCTACGCTCAAGGTATTATTGTAGCACTAGAAGACATGTGTAACCTCAAGAATACTGAAATGGGTCTTAGCATGCGCTCGTACAGTAATTATCACTCTTCCTTTGTTGCTACATCACAAACCTGTAATCTGAACCCTGATGCAGACCACTATTAGCTCTCAGTCTACTCTCTGTCACTTATCAAGAGAATGGGTACATTACATTTTTTTGCATATGTCTAGAGCTGCTTCACGGAATTACTTCAGCAGTTAAACCCAATCTAAATCACTTAATTGTGATCAGCTCATTAAATAGCCAGTAGAATAATACAACCATAACATGTAAGAATAGAAACATCCAAAAGCTCTGAGGGTTCAAATGGAAGCTGTGGATGGGAGTGGGTTTAAAAGCTGCAATTTGTCATTTTGCGCAGATGCACCTGGCCAAACTGGAGGCACTGAGGACCCCTCATATCTACCTGAGACAGGACGTGCTGTGCGAAACCCTCGGGGGGAACATCTGCCCCCTTCTTACCATCACTGCCATGCCCGAGTCCAACTCAAATGATCACATCTGTCAATTTAGTGAGTAAATAAATGTAGATCCATATGGAGATTTAGTTAAAGTTATTTGGTTAAAGCTATATAGCTCTCTCTAGAGTTGGCAATAAATGTCAAGGAAGCAGTGCTGTGTGGTTTTAAATGTCAGAAAAATCTGGAGTCGATAGATTTTGCAAACTGCTGGATTCATCATTTTGTTTGCACTCAGGAACTTGTGGAAAGTATTGATATTGAAGGTTGTTTCTGGTGAAACAAAGTTAGTTCAAACTTATTTGGGCTCTAGAAAGTTGAAATCATTGAGTTATCCAATTAAAATTGTCAAATGCGCAACAAAATCACAATAATGGGAATCGTGTGTATGTAAAAGAAGTCCAAAGTGTTTCATTGCCAGACACTCTGATTAAATCACCTAAAACAGCCTTTCAGATACACCTAATTTGTCATCCTTAGAATGAAGATTATTCCTGACTGCTGGGAGCAGTCTGTCTAACAAAGTAAACTGAGCCTGAAAGTCCAACTTACTTGCTTTTATGAATCTCCTTGAGTATCTTGTAGCCTATTTAAGCAGATAAAACTATTTCAGAGTCTGTTAATGGGTAGATTTTTGATCCACGTGAGGTTATTTTATCACAAGTAATCTGTCATTAGTTGGTGATAATTTCTTTGGGTCCTTTAATTGAAAAACCTCCCCAGTAACTGATAGAAATGACTAGTACTACAGTAAAACAGCCTTGAGGTATCAGGGCATACTCTTATTTTCCAAATAGCTTTGCACTGCACTGATGTTGTTTTTCTGCTCTGAAAAAACTTGAAATTGAAGATTTTTTCCTTCTCATTCCATCTCCCTGTGCTCATGTTTGTGTTGCACTTTTTTTTTCCTTTCTCGCTCTTCAGGGAACCGTCCATTGATCTTCCTGTCTGCCAGAGTGCACCCCGGAGAGACCAATGCCAGCTGGGTAATGAAGGGCACGCTGGAATTCTTAATGGGCACGAGCCCACTGGCAGCCAGCCTGAGGGAGGCCTACATCTTCAAGATAGTGCCCATGCTCAACCCTGATGGAGTTATAAATGGGAAGTGAGTAAAAAGAAATGGAACTAAATTAACGCACGCTCATAACTCTCAAGTATACACACCAACGACACACACTCTGCCGAGCCTGGGCCTGCACGGTGGCCACAGCTTTACGTTAACACACATCAAATCTTGTCTTGAAGGATTCTCTAGCTGTTGCTCTGTTGTGCTCCACTCTGTATCCTTCCCCTCTTCTGCCATCTCCTTTCTGCTGTAGTCATCGTTGTTCTCTGAGTGGGGAGGATTTGAATCGCCAGTGGCAGAATCCCAATCCTGAGCTCCACCCCACCATCTACCACACTAAGAGCCTGCTGCAGTACCTTGCACACATACAGAGGGCACCACTGGTATGACCTCTAATTAACTGGAATTACTCTAGGGGCGTTTTCCACTTTGCGACACAATTTTTTTTTTCTCCATCCAGCTGCACATTCTGTTTGGCTGCTTTTTCACTAGATTTCACTGAACTTAACATCTGTAAATAACTGCATTATTTTATTACAGATATAGTTACCATAAACTAAACCCTGTGCTCGCCTCTCTGCTACATATAATTTTATTTACTGGTATATTGCAATGGGTGGCAACGTAAAGGCACAAAGAGGGGTGAGGCTGTTATTCTTTGCAAACTGACCAGAGAAAGTCATTATTTTATAACTCGAGTCTCAGTGTCATGGTTAAAAAAACTATTCAATGTACTTCTTTTCCGTCTATGTGTGTGAATGAACAGGTATTTTGCGACTACCACGGTCATTCCAGGAAGAAGAATGTGTTCATGTACGGCTGCAGCGTAAAGGAGACAGTTTGGCAGTCCAATATCAGTGCTACATCGAGCGACTTGCACGAGGACCTTGGATACAGGGTGAATGCCAGCAGTACACACAAACTTCTCTTAGACTTGCCCGGTTTCTGAAAGTACAGTTAACATATCAGTGGATATTAATTGGGCTGAATTTGAATCACCATTATTAAGTTGTGCTCGTATTACTCCAGAAAAGACATGCCATCAGTCGACTTATAATTACACCAACACATAGTTAATGCTACATATTAACTATATTTAAGATGTTGATTTTAGTAAGTACATGTTTGTAATGTTACCTGTTCTGTTTGTTGACTTTCTTTAACACTGTCACCATGTCTTAATAAACATATTCAAATGGGTTTAAACTCATTTTGCAAAGGCAAAAAAAAGTGGTAACATCAAAATGTTTTTGTCTGCATTTGGGAATGAAAACCCCAAATTTGGGGGTTTGCATAACTATAGCTTTTATCGATTCCTGTCTGCACCCCTAGCACACACACGCACACGCCTACACAAAGACATTCAGACTTCTCAAACACTTTTTATATGTTCTTCAGACCCTTCCCAAGATCCTGTCCCAAATCGCTCCAGCCTTCAGCATGGCTAGCTGCAGTTTTGTTGTGGAGCGCTCCAAAGAGGCAACCGCCCGCGTGGTTGTCTGGCGAGAGATCGGAGTGCAACGCAGCTATACAATGGAGAGCACGCTCTGCGGCTGTGATCAGGGCAAATATAAGGTATGGGTATATTTGTTTATTCAGTATGGATTGCTACCGAACACTAGTATTAAATTGGTACCGATACTAGACAAAGAGTGCTACTGTACAGTCAGTCTTTATCTAGCATAATAACAATTTAGACTTCATTTTAACAGAGCTGTAAGAGCTCTGCTCTCATGACAACACTTCTGTGCTGTCCTGTCATGTAGATGGGACAGGCTGTTCAAAACTAACTTTTGCTACATTTAATGAAAATTCACTGATTGTGAAGAAATGGTTTCATTTGAGCAGGTGCCGCCCACCTCTGGAACGAATTTCGAACACAGTGTTCTTATAATAAGCAGAGCAGCGAGTTGCACCCATGCAGAAAAATACAGTTGTTTCCACTTCAAATTAAATCACTACTTTTAATGTTCCTATTTAATGAAAAGCTCCAGCCAACAGTTAATTTTGTGATAATTAAATAATTGCTCATAGTTATTCATACAGTTGCCTGTAGGGAGATTACTGCAGCTGTTGGCACCTGAGGCACATTACCAAACAGCCCCACCTGCTTACTCTGGTGAGGTTGGCAATGTGTAAAACTTATGATTATATTTTACATTAACACATGTGCAATCCAGCAATAAGAGTGCAGGTAAGATCTTAACAGTACCCATCCATTGTATGGACAAATAAAAGACTTGGGCATTTTATTGTAGCTTAGAGTAATGACCCTGAAATTAAAATGTTCTTTTGAACAAGCTTGTCATTTTCTCAGAGGGAGGTGCCCCTCTGCTCCTCTGCATGCCCACCAGGTGGAGCTGCGGTGCTGTTTGTCTTTGCTTCTTCTCAGTCCTTTCTCTTTCTTCCCTTTTTGACTGTGCTGCCTCCCTTTCTTCTTTCTAACTCCATGGTGTTCCATCCCAGCTGACTTCCTTCCTATTGATTCCTGCCAATGTCAACATCTAACACTGAGTCCCACAATGCCATTTTGGCTCTGATTAAGACCCCTACTGGTTTTCATGAAAGTTTTTGTCCAGATGTGCAGGAACTAATGTCTCCTGATTTGTGGCTGCATATGTCTGTGGCCAAGTTTAGATGTTCCTCCTTCTGTTCTGCTCTGGGGGGGAGGGAAAGAACATGAAGGGTTTTTTGGAGGGGTCGGGATTCGGGGTGAGCTGAAGGTTAGTGTGTCCCTGTGTGAGTTTGCATTTGCTTGTACGAATGAACTGTGCAGACTTTGTGTGGGTGTAGGAAGGGGTGCGTTTGAATGTGTGTCCCTGAAAATGAAATAAATGATCATGTCTCCACATGAAAAGTTTTCTTACCAAGTGCTTGGCCGCAGCGAGAATTGGGGCGTTTGAAGCTGGACAATGACTCTATCCCCAGGCTCCAGAGCAGCTTTAGAAAACCCACAGCAGTCATTTTAAACTAGATTTCACTCTGACCTTTGCAGTTATTTTTGAATATGTCAGTATATTGAAAGTACTTGCGAGTATGTGTGTGAGTTTTTAGTTTGTTTTCTGGTGAACGTATCGAGTTTAAAATCTTGGGCTCAGGAGGTACAGCGGGCTGTCCAGTCATCTCACGGTTGGTGTTTCAATCCCAACCCTCTCCACTTGCAAAAGTTCCCTGGTGTTAGACACCAAACCCCAAGTCGCCCGCTATCACAGCCGAGCACCTTGCACTGTAGCACTGCCGTCATTGGAGTGTGTTTGAGAATGGATAATTGAGAAACACATTTTAAAGCACTTTGTAGAACCACTAAGAACTGCGCTGTGTAAGTGCAGACCATTTACCATTTAGCGTTTTCTCCAGGGTCTTCAGATCGGCACCAGAGAGCTGGAGGAGATGGGAGCTCAGTTCTGCGTGGCACTGCTGAGGCTGAAGAGGCTGACCGGGCTCCGGAACCACCAACACCTACTGGATTTGGAGAGCGATATTATTGGGACACAGTCCAAAGTGGTCAGGTTAGTATTGTGGAAAAAAGCCATGACTCTGTGCAGTCATCTGAACAAGCCACACACAGCTGTGGAATTTGGTCTTATTGAAACAATACAGCAAACAAAAACTATTCTCCTCATTAACCTTTTTCTCCTTTTTGTTTTAAGTTTTTCAGCTTTTTGTTTCTTAGCTGTTGAGTTCTTGTCCTCTTGCAACCTTCTCAAGGTATCTGAGATATTGATAATGTTTTCCGTGACCATAAATCTACCTGGAAATGATTACAGACTGCCTTCTTTTTTTATCTGCACAAATATCCTCATTACTGCTAGACACGTTCCCCCTCGGCGCTGATTCTCAACGGTGTGACTGTCATTCTGGCTCTGAAGCACTACTCAAGAAACAAATGAAGGCCTGAATTTATGCAGGGCTGCTGTGAGCATCATTGAAATTCTACCAATGATCATGTGCGAGGAATATAATGAAAACTTTGGTCTGAGAGGGAAGTGGTCATGAATAATTGTCAGTAGCATCATTATTTCTTAAAACAGCCAGAAGATCTCTTTTGATAAAACCATTTACACCTACACAGTAGAGTTGTTAAGGGGCGCGTGAAGTAGTTGATGGTGCAGGGTAGTACATGTGCGTGGAACGTGGAGATTAGCCTCCCTCCATAGCTGGAATACATTTGCAACAAAGTGGGAAAGCAGTTTATTAAAGTCAGTATCACAGCGTGTCCTCATACAGCCTAAGTGTCAAAGGATGGTAAAACTGAATGTCTTTATAGTTCAGCTGTTAAGATGAACTCTAATCTTATCGGCCTTTTTATTCTATAGTTATATTCTTTATAGTTCTTGTGTCAACGTGTTCAGTTTGTTGCAGTAGTGTACAGTAACTTCATTTCTTATGCTCTCATTCCCCAGTGCAGTAAAGGAAAGGATACAACTGCAGTATCAGGCATAGGATTAAAAGAAAACTTACCACGTTTGGTATTTGTTTTGATGTTTTCATATAGAGATAGATAGATGGTTCATGTATAGATTTGCTGCTGCTCTCTATTTTACTCTGTCGTAGACTATATGAGGTGCAGTCCTTGGCTTCTCGTGCACCTCCGGACCAGTTTTCAGCGCGGCTGCTATTTTAAGATTGCTCCTTGAAAGTCTCGTTCTGTCCCTCGCGCTTGTGCGTCGGCGATGCGCGCTGGATCCTCTCCAGTGTGTCAAAATGGGAGCTGTTCAATTTGATTTTTATCTCGGGCAAACTGACAGTCACAGGGAGCCAAGTCTGGTGAGTGGGAAGGGTGGTGAGCGATGATTATGTTGTGGTGGCAAAAAACTTGTGCCTCTTCAGTGCGGCGTACGCCGTCACACAGTTCCACGTATTACTGTTCGGATCACCGAGTGCACCTGCTCAGGCGTCTCAGGACCTTGCAGGAAAACTCAGCCTTCAGTCTCACCGTGTGGGGTGACCTTAAACTGACGTACCATCTTTAGGTTTGGAAACTGCTCGGGCATAACCGGAGACCCAGCTGTCATCACACGCCGCAATCTTTGTCGTCTCTGCACAAGTTTGAGCTCTGTGGCGAAATTCCAGATATGGAAGTGGTTAGAAGTATGGAAATAGAACTAGACTCCCAAGCAGCAGTATTAAAAATGAAAGCCTCTCTGAAAGCGTCCCAGAGATGCGTGACAAGTTAGCACATTTAAATCCTTTTCTAAAGAAAAATTATTTTTAACCTTTTAATCGGACCTCATGTTGGGCTGTCGGACTTTTCTCACCGAACCCAGCGGACCTGCTATAATTAGGAAATTATGACGTATCTGTCTGACAAACCAACATTAACTAAAGTTTAGAAAAAATCTAATCTACATCAGAGTTTTATGGGTTAGAAAAAAAATGCAATTTTAACTCTAAATTTAGTGTCCACCTCTAAATACAGACTCATTCAAAAACCATAGTTGCACTCAAGTTTTGGGCATCTTCATCCATATTTTAGCAAGTGACAGTGAGTCAGCACTGCTCTTCACCCTAAAAGAAGAAAAAAGAAATCACCCAGTAGCTTCATGCATTATCTAATCACCTCGATTGAAATGACCAGTTCAGAAATATGAGGTCGCCACAGATTAGATTGTACTTAGTTCAACACAGCCAATAAATTATTAAGCTTGGCCAAACCCAAGCCGTGACCACCAAGGTTATCTTCATTTCTTATTTTAATACATTAGCTTCTGCTTTGTTAAAGAAGTCGAATCCAAGTGATGGCTCTATATTCCAAACCACTTAATGCTTACATCTCTTTCTCCCTGCATCTCCTTGTCTCTCTGTTACTAACCTACTCTACTCTCATATTGATATATTCATTCATCATTTATGTGTCTGATCATTAAGGGACTCCAAAAGTGTTTGTGTGGCTGTGTGTGTGTGTGGGCATTAGTACCCTCTGGGATTGGTCGCTCTCATCCTGGATTTATGGCTTTATTCGTGGGGCTTGGTATAGTACCACTTACCATTTAAGAGTTCATCACAACGATGATATTGTGGCCACTGGGATGTGTCTTCAAATAACTGGAGTGCTTAAATGGGTGGATACGAGCAATGGGGTGTGTTTTTTTTTTTTTTTTTGTGCGCATAAGAAAGGACCAGAATGATTTAGAAGGTTCTGCAGATGTGGAGGTTTATCCTTGTGTGACTGAGGGTAATTTGGGTTTTAATGAACATATATGGATTTGTATATTCAGACAGACGGTATATGGAGATGACTGCAATTTGGTGGATACACAAAATGGGTGTGTGTGTGTGTGTGTGTGTGTGAATTGGTTTGATATTTCTGTAATGGCCTGAAATGGTTGACACATTGCTTTCATTATCTGCTTGGACAACATGCATTGCACACGCACACATTACCTCATACACATACACGTTTGCTGTACATATACTGATGCGTAATTTCTCAGTCTCTGTCTCTCTCATCCACTCATACTCAGGCGAGCTTGGTGGGAGATCATTGTCTGAGCCCCCCTGATCGACTGTCTCCCTGGGATCACATTTCAGACCATTAACACCATTAAAAACCCACTAAAGCCACTAAAACCTCAAAGAACCAGCAAGCATTTAACCATTAAGACCGACAGAAAAAACCCAACTGCCTCATTGGTCAAAGCAGACATTTAATGTGTGTTAGCGGTCTTTACGTTTTTATGATTTATAAATGTTATATTAATATGTATAATTGTTTTGCAGAGTTTGCGTTTGCTTCTTGTTCTGTGTTTAAGCAATTACTCTTACCGGCAGGATCTGATTATTTATGTGGCATTTAACAGTAGAAATGTGAGGAAAGAGAGCATTTCCTCATATTTAAGGTCACAAACTGCAGCAGTTTTATGAATATATCGGTCATTTAAGTCATATATCAAGCAAAAATGTTAAATCTAGATTCTCAGATCTTTTTTTGCTGCCTTTTCGTTTAGAAAATTTTTTTTTTAATCAAACTTTGAAGAAAAGACTAAATTTAATAGTGAGTCCAAGATAATCACTAACTCCATCAGCAATAAAAATAATGACCTGTCTTACTGGTATATTATTTAAATTAAAAATTAAATCATGCCTCTGACTAAAAACATCACAAAATAAACGTTTTATTTATTTATTTTTAAATGAAAGCTCCTGTTATGTCTTGATTGTGCTTTCACAATTTGAACATTGCCATTCTTCCAGTTTAACCATCATCCATGACACGCGTGGCAGTGACTCTTTATTTTGTTACCCGGCAGCCCAACTACTTATGTGATGGAGGAGGACGAGCCGTCCTTTCTGGAGGCTATAGACTACAGCGCAGAAAGTGACAATGAAGACGCGGAGCCCGAAAACGAGCACGGCAACAACGTCCACGAGAATCCCGACCACCTCGATCAACTGTCCGACTCGTACTAATCGCAGGGATCAGCGCTGCGGGGTTAATCTCATCTGTACCTGGCAGTTTGAGCTTACAAACAGCTGGTGCCTGGGCTTTTAGATGATCTAAATTTAAAGATTTCACAGGTGACATAGCAACACTTCTCACATTGACTGCTGGATAAATAGCATAGATTTAAACCTGACCCTGTTGTAAATACAAATCCAAATGGTACATAAGCACCACACAGGTGTGTGTCGACCTGATAGATTTACTCTTGTCTATGCGGCTGACGTGCTGCTCTTAACGGTACTCCACCTGCCTTTCACTTCAGATAGACTGATATAAGCCACAGTAATACAAAAAATAAAGCTTCTAATGAATGTTTTCACCTTTCACTACCAGAATTTAATCATCATGAACTGTAAGCCTTGACCTCAGACACCATATAGCCTCTGAGATTCACATATAGCTGCACAGGGCTGCAACCAGCAGGCACTTTGGACATTTAACTTGAACCCCGGTCCACTCGCTGCTCCTTTTTTATCACCTCCAAACTCACGCTGAAGCTTTCTGCCAAGGTTGTAGTTGTATAATAGAGCCAGTGGCTTCTGTAGGCTTTGAAAGCCCTGTCATCTGTGACGCTGTGTTTGATAGAAACACTTCTGCAGGTGATTTAGGGAAACTGGATCTCCTTCACTGGCCAGCACCGAGATCCAATCTGCCTGCCTTCTTATTTCCTCTTTCTAGCTTTCTTCATTGTTGCCCTGCACTTTAACTTTGTATTCATTTAGTTTGTTCAGGCCTTCTTTGCTTGTCTCTTTCTTTTCTTTGAGAAGCCAAGGTATCACTGTTGAAATGGGATGGACAGATGATCAAACAGCTCTCATATCTTAACATCATTTGAACAAGAACCAGCTCAGATGTAACCAGACTTGAGCCGTGACCTTACTTCCTTCCCTCTTCGGCAACGCGACACGTGGGCCGATCACCCATGTGCTCTCTGCCTTGCTTTATCCAAAACCGAAGCTATTCATATCACACACAAGCAGAATGTTCACGTCTTTATAAAGACAAACCTTGTACAGTATTTAAAACGTGGATGTAAACACTGCAAACTAACATCAGTGACACATTTAGGTGGAATGTATAGCATCCACATGTCGGTGTTTTCATTGTTTTTTATGAACCGTGTTAGTATAACAAAGTAGTGATGAACAAGAAAGCATGAGCTGCACAGAGAGCAGAAAATCCTTGTGCACTTTGGACAAACACAAATCACACAGAACAAAGACAAAGTGAATGCGAGTAGTGTGGAAACCTCATCTTTAGTCACCTCGTTTGTTTGAGCCCAGCCCAAAGCTCGACGGTAACACTTCTCTTTTGTCTATACTGGAATGTTTTTCCCGTCGTTGTTCTTTCCTCTTGTGTGTATATTTTGTGGAGTTGTGTAGGACAGACCCATGCGTAAAAACAGATGGTGCTGAGTATCAAATTGTTTTTTTCCCTGCTCATAGAGATGTGTTTCTGTTGTACAGGTTGATTTGTTTGTTTGTTTTTTGCTTGCTGTTTTTAAATTATTAAGTATTTTTTGTGTGATGCTTCCTGTACGTACATTTTTCTGTGTGGGTGCAGACTGTGTGTGCACATTTGCAGGAGTTTAAGTTATTCCATTATTCTGCTCAGCTAATGCTCTTAAAGTGTGTTTCTGCTTTCAATTTGATTATCCACTCTAACTCGGCTTCACTCCCCCAATAATTTTTTCGCTCCTCTCTTTCCTTCTAAACCCATTTCACTCCTCTGTTTTCTGTCCTTTGCTTCCTTTTAAGTTTTGTTTGGGACATCTTAGAAACACAGCATTATTGTCGTGCGTGTGCATGTGTGTGTGTGTGTGTGTTTGAGGGATATCCACGTGTAATTTCAGTATAATATGCGATACGTGTCTGTCATATTTCTGTCTCTTGCAGCTTATGTGCAATGCTGGGCTGCGTTTGTTGGGATAGTTATTCATTTTAAGTTGATTGTACTGCAGAAAATAAAAGCTAAGACTGAATACATGGGAAATAAAATGTGAATATGGTAAACTGCTGCATTTTATTTATTTCATATTTAGTTTTTTGTTCCTGAACTGTACACTTTTCACTGTGATACTGACGTGTGTTTTGTGAAACTTGAGTGAGCATGAAATTCACATAAAATCTGTCCTCATGGAAACATTTCTCTTTGAATTTAATAAAACAACTGTAATTGATCCTAAAGATATGAGAAGCAAAACACATTAAAAGAGCTTCTTTTCAGGCTGTGTTGACTTTCAAGCTTGTAAACTCTGGTTTTGGTTTCAATAAATCACTGCACCCGTTTCCTGTTTTGCTAGCAAAATATAAAGAAATGAGGGGTGTCAAGTCATTTGCACGGTCCTGTATCTGACAAATGATGTGGCTTGCAGTGTGGTTAACTGTCCCAGCAGATATTCCAAGAAGTCGAAGTTGCATTATTTACTTTTTTTTTTTAATTGACTGTGCAGGGCATCCACAGATGCTATAGATCAGCGCTCCTAACTGAGATTACTAGGCATAGTTATAGATCAGCACCCAGCCTCATGTAAATATGTTCATTTCAGGCTTCAAAAGAGGCCAAGACTTCAGAATGTCAGTCCATTAAACTGTGGTTAAGATCCTAGTTAAGCTTTTATATACAGCGGTTTTTCACTTGATGTCTTTGACAGACACTCTTCTAAATCTCAGCATTAGAGTGATTGTATATAAACAGCCCGTCCAGCTTTGGCGCCATGCACACAAATCATTCCAGTCAGCTGATGGGGGGAAGTTAGCTTGTTAATAATGGATTACTGGAGAGATTCATGTTGCTTCAAATCTATTGTAAAACCAGAATCCTGTATGGTTGCTTTAGTTTAACCTGTTGACATTAATAATACTTCCTAATATGTTGGGGCCACAATTGTAGAGTAAACATCACCCTCGATATCTAAACAAATTACGGGTATTATTCTCTATCAAATACAGGGCAAAGTTTTAAAACGCTTGTCTAACTGAGTAACTTCATTTGGTCTGGACAAATCGAGGCACATTTGTTGCATTTTTTTTCAAATTTGGTGAAAATTTTCACGATGATGCACTGCAAAAACCCATCAACTTGGACTCTCGTGATGTCACCGGCGGTCAGAAAGGGAGTACACGGTGACTGTCACTGAAGCTATAACTGCGTGGTTCAACTTTGTGTTTAGAGGGACAAAAAAAAAAAGAAGAGCTTGGAAAAAAGTGAACAAAATCGCAGCATTTCATGGTAAGTTCTGGTGATATGTTTCAACTGCTGAGTCAACTCCGACACAGAAGAGATGATGCTACCATGGTGTCAGCCACTGGTTTGTGAACACCTGTTTTGAAGCCTCAGGTTGAGTTTTGAAGCCAGATGTGATGATCGAGGGATGGATCTTACTGTGAAACTTAATAAATCAGGAGCGGAGTTGGGACGCATTGGCTTAATCCTTTATACTGGCTGTGATTGTACTCTGGTCCCATTGGGAGTCATTGTGGGCTTACTTTGGAGATAGCCTTAAGTAGCTGCTAGAGGAAGTGCAGTCCTCGGCACTTTAGCGTTGACTCCGCTTTTCATTCCTTTTCATTTGAAATGTAAAAGAAAAGAGAGAGTTAGGAAATGATTGATGATTGAATGAGCACAGAGATTCTTCTCTAATATAAGAGAGTACAAGCCAAAACGCCGTCATCTGTGCATTGCTCACCTCTCTATAACGCACTGAGAAGTTTTCACATCCACAAATCCAAACAGATCAGAAAAAGGTCAGCGACTTGCTAATTCTTTAAACATCCCCTACAGGCATGCTGGAAAATATACAGCACAAAATGCTTGGTAGTGGAAAACGAACCCTGTACGCGTGTCATGTTTTCCCCTAATTATAATAATAATATCATATTTATATCTGGAATGGAAAGACGCAGAGGACCTTGTTCCTCTTTAGGCAGATGTACTTATGAGGATAATAAAAAAAAGATAATGTTTCTGTTCCCACACGAATTCGCCAGTCACAGGTTGGAAAGAGGAGGTTTTGAAAATCTGATGATGTAATCCTTTCTGCTCACTCAGCCTCCTGAAGCACGGCAGCCCTCAAGTCACTGCTGAGGACTAGAAAATGATCGGCAGACCCTTACAGTGGTATGTGTTTGTATAGTTTCCATCAAAGCTTCAATAAAAATAAAAAAGTGTTGCAAATGAACCTGTGAAACATGGTCAGGTCACAAGATCACCATCAGGTCAAGTTAGCAAATCTCCGTCTGGGTTTGGTTCGGTGTGATTTATGTCTGTGCTAATAGAGCATAAGTAGATAATGAATCACTTCTTGTGAGATTTTTTTTAATCTCTTGCTTCTGAGGAGATGAACACAGGGAGAATGGGGGGCAACAAAAGCCAGTGCATGTGTTCTGAAAATCAGTAGTGTATGATACTGAATGTAAATTGGTATAACTGGACAGAAAGATGCAGGAGGGAGCAAAGTCAGAGCAAAGGGAGGGAGAGAGTGAAAAGCAGAAAGGAGGATGAGAGGAATTTGGAGAGTTGGAGGGGAATGTTAATCTGAGGAAGGCAGCATGGAGAGAAAAGCTCTTTTCCTCTCTAAGCCCCACGCCCTCACTTCCTGTCCCTGCTGTCAATCAGAGCAACTGAAGTGCATCAGACAAAAGACCCCCCTATTCCCTCCATCCAACAGCAGAAAGCATCAGCACCATCCAACCAATTAATTAACTGCCCTGACCAACGGACGCAAAGGTGTGTGTGTGTGTGAGCCTTACAGGGTGGAGGGTTTTGAACTGTTTCTGTAGGTTTCTCATGTACATCACAGACCCCTAATTAGTAATCTCTCTCCCCCTCTGTCTCTCTCCTCGTCTCATGCATTCATGCAGGCACCGTGCCCAACCTCCATCCTCACACTGACGAGCTTATTTCTGTAGTCTAAGTGTGGCTCTGTGAGCCTCTAATAGTGGAGCCAATTAGTGCCAGAGTCCGACTTGGCAGCATCTCTAACTCACTGGTGGTCCCACTGAGGGACAGAATGGCTCCCCTGAAAAGGTACAAGTCCACAAAGGACGTCCTGACAAAGACGTGTGTGTATAGGCTGCATGTCACAGGAGGATAACTCTGCGTGCATGTGTTTGTGTGTGCGTTTGATCTCGTTGTGATTCAGTTTTAGAATTTCGCAGCAAAGAGTTAAACTGTATAAGCTGTTACAGGCATGATAGGAAGAAGTGCTTTTGAAGATGCTTGAATGGTTAAAAATGGTCCCACTCAGCAACGAAGGTATCACATTCAGGCACGCGTTCAGTGTTTTTAGCCTGACACCAACCCATCTGTACAGTAATTTAAAAAAAGAGAAGTTTAACAGATTAACAGTCTGGTTCATGAACAGATGTACTCCATACTCGATAACACCACTGACACAAGTTTGGACTGAATGCTTACATACTAATTTGTACATTACTTGCTCAACCCTATCATTGATAGAAACTGGGCTGTGGTCACTAACTCAGCAAGGATCAGGGGTGTTTTATTTTTTTAAGATGAGGTCATGTTTCTAAAGTCTCCTAAAGAAACACAAAACCTCCTGTAGCTAAGTAAAGCATGATTAATTACATAGGATTTTCATCTGCTTCATTCTTTTGCTTTTGTAAGCACCTGTGGGGTTCTAATCTATGCCTATTGAGATTTCTGATGTTGGTGTTTTATAAGTGATTGTTCTTGAAAAAGCAGGGAAACAGATGGACTCGAAACGACCCCAAACAGATTGCATACTTTACCCCGCATTGGGTGAAAGGACACCAAAATATAAAATGTATACCTCAAGAAGACTGGACGGATTGTGTCTCTCACTGGGGGGGGGAACCGCTCGTGATGGTGTTCTTGAATTGAGCCCAGTGTGCAGCTTTTTGTTAGCAGTCGACCAACATAACAGTACAAACACGGCGGGTTTTGTTCGTTTTTGTGTGTCTGTGTGTGTGAGTTTGTGGCTGTTGATAGACTGACAGAAGACAGCTTGACACAGATCACAGATGCAAACACGTTACATTAAAATCAAATGGCCTGCAAACATTTTCACAGACCCTTGTGTGGATATGCCTTCTCTTTTGCATATCAATAGTGCTAGATAGTAGACACACACACACTCACACACGTACACACTCACACAGACATAATTGGTTACGTAGGGAGCAGTGCCAACTTGCACCTCTCGTTGCCGTGGTAACCAGAGAGACTGAGTTTTCTAGAAGCACTTACTCACATCCCGTCTGTTATTCACTTGTTTGTTCATTCATTCCTCTTTTTAGTCTCCTTTATGCCGCACTCTCTTGCCCTTTCTCTCTCTCTCTCCGGGTGCTTTTCAGCCCGTTTCCATTCCCACTTCTCCTCCAATAAGATGCCCTCTTGGCATGCATATGCAAATGAGGCAGACTTGAAACCAATTAAAAGAATTGAATAACGAACAGTGTCGTGTCCTCAGAGGTTGGACACGGAGATAGTGGCTCTGTTAGACCCGCATGACACGACGTGTAAGCGCCAATGTCTGTGTAATTTGCTTTTGATAGAGGAGCAAAGGACCTGGAAATTAGTCTGTTTCTTTTCACATGCTGGTAGATCAAGTCAGAAGGAGCCTGGTGTGTTTGTGGGGGAAAAAGAAGAAAGAATGTAGTGAATGTTTTCATCTTTATAGGTGGACACTTTACTTAAAACCTTAAAACACCCCTACTGCCCCATCTTATTTAACTTCTCATCCTTTGGCTCATCTGCTCTCCCATCGCCGCCCCCGCAAAAGCTCTCAGGGGTGTATCAAGTTATCATTGGCCGACAAAGCAGGAAGCAGGAAGTATATACTGCCTCATAGGCAGAACTCTGGAGATATTAGGTGGACAAATATATGCACACTCAAGGATACTACACACACACACACACACACACACACACACAAAACAGCAAATAAAGCCTGCTGTGTTATGGCTAAATGTTGTCTCTGCAAAGAGGAAAAATATGTTGTAGCTCCAGTGTTGCATATCAATTATGTACAAACTTGGAGGAAAAGAAAAAGGGGATGGGCTTTAATAAAATTCAATGCTTGTGTGAGGTTTACAACTGGGTAATTAGAGTTACATGAAAACAAACAAACAAACAAACAAAACACAACACCAGCTTTCATACACCCTTCAATAGAAAGCTGTATTTCTAAAGAGCAGCACACACACTGCAGGCCATCCTTCTAGTATTTCTGTGCCAACCTGCACATGCAGTATTTTAACCCAGAGGGATTTTTTTTTTGTCTGGCATTAAACAACCAAATGCATCCGA